TTGTTGGGTGGTGGTCTTTTGATGATGACTATGAGCTATGTTGCACCGACACTCCAAACTGCTGGAGTGTCAGAGTGTCGGACACGCCGACACGCCGACACGGCTCCGACATGCGTTGGACAGGGTCAACGGCTGGGACACTGTCAAGACACGCCGCCGACACGGTCAAGACACGGCAAGGACCAGATTGAAATTTTAAAAATAAAAATTGGGGTTTAAACGTGATTTTTGAAACTTTAGTGGATTGATTTGAAATATTTTTAAAAAGATGGGTTAAAAGTGGAAAAAGACTTTTTTAAACCTAAATGAATCCCACATTTTTCCCTTTGTTTTCAAATTCTTTTTTTATGTTCTCTATCTCTATTTTCTTTTCTTATCTCCCTCTTCACAGCAGTAAAAGAGTTGAATTTGGTGGTGAGGTGAAGATTATTTCTTCTGTTTATTTTGAAGAGAAACACAACAAGAATGACGATTCTTTCTTGCAAATCGTGACCAAGAAGGACGATTCCTTCTTGCAAACTTAGGTTAGGTTTCACAGATTTTTAATTTTGTTTCTCTGTTGTGTTTTTTGTGTGTGGGTATTTTGTATGATTGTATCTGTTTGGAGTTTTTTATTTTTATTTTTAATAAAAGTCTTGTTATTAGTTGTTGAGTATATTTGAATTTGTTTAATTAATTGGGTATTAGACTATTAGTCATAATGAATGTGAACCGTGTTTTATTTTGTTTCTCTATTTTGATGTGTTTTGTATCTTTGTATGATTTTATCTGTATTTGGTTTTTTATTTTTAATAAAAGTCTTGTTTCTCTATCTTGAAATATTGAGAATTAATTATTATTTTAATTGCCGTGTCCTAGCCGTGTCCGTGTCCTACTTTTTTGAGATTTTCCATGTCGTCGTGTCGCCGTGTCGCGTTCCCGTGTCCCCATATCCGTGTCCGTGCAACATAGTGTGGGTTAATAGTTGAGGAAACGGATAGGCGTCTCGTTCTCATAAGTTTTTATTTATTTATCGTGAATGCAATGGTAACCAGACCACACAAAATAGTTGTGTTTGTTCCCTGGCCACACCAGACTATCAGGATCCCGCCCACTTCCAATAGGGATATGCAGAAAAGCATTTGCCTCCTCGTAAAAAATACAGTGCCTGATGGATGATAAATTCCAAGCTCTGGATTCATAGTCGATAATGAATTCCACATTTGTGTTTAGATTCAAGGGAACATCATGATTAAGGTGGAGCATACCATCCGGGATGCTAGTAATCCAAAGATGAGTCCGAAAACGAGACTTGCCTCCATCCAGAACTTGCAGTGAGCTCCATTTAGAATCACTGCCCTAACTTCTAATAAGCTTGCCCATGCCTATGATGCTCGACCGCCTTTTCTTGACTCAAGGAAGTTGCAGTTGGGGAAGTAGCGCGCCTTCATCATTTGTGCAAAAAAAAGAATTGAGTTCATGGATGAGGAGTCAACATTACTCGACCAGAAGTGTAAGATTAAAGTCATTGAAGTCCCTAAAGCCCATCCCACCCTGCTGCTTCGCAAGTCCTATGTTCACCTAGCTAATCCAATGGGCCTTCATATCATCTTGTTTTTGCCCCATCAAAACTTGGCAACATCCATTTCTAAGGTATGACAAAAAGTTTAGGGAATTTAAACAAACACATTGGATAACTTGGCATAGCTTGTACCATTGACTTTATTAAAATCTCACGCTCAGCTTAGGATAAGATGCCTTGCTTCCAATCCCCAATCTTTCTAAGCAGCTTTTCCTTCATAAAATTTAGAGCCTTTCTTTTTATCTTCCCCATAGTGAGGAAGTCTTAGATACTTCCCAGGGTCAGTCATAGTAGTCATTCCCAAAATAACGCCTAATTCATTTCTCAGGTTCAGAGGTGTATTTGGACTGAAGAACACACTTGACTTTCCCACATTAACTTGTTGCTTCGATGCCTTATAGTATCCATTTAGCAAATGTAGCATGTTACGACAATTTTGGATGTCTGCTTTAACAAACATGGAAAAGTAATCTTCTATTTCCCATCCCTTAAGAAAAAATATGGGCAATTATTTCCCATCAAATCTTTTCCATGAACCAAACAAGGCCTGATTTCTTAAAGCACTTCCACCCATTTGCCATGACAAAGGGCAAGGGTAAGGCAATGGCTGTTACTATTCACATGAATAGTGGCAGCCCTTGCAAAAGGCTTGTGGTGTTTCCACCCATTGCCATGGCAACCACTATTCACATGAGATATAAATAGAGGAATTTGTATAGAGTTTGGTTGGGAAGTGAAGAATATGACTAAGTATTTATTTAAAAAAATTCTGAAAATTTTAGTATTTTTTTAGATTTTTAATAAATTTTTTTCGTTGCTGACGTCAGCAAATCCAAGCAACAGCTCATGCTATTTTTGCCTTCGGGATTGCCCAAGCTTGTGGAGCCCACGAGCTGCTCGGGCAGCTTAAGCCCGTTGGAACCATGAAATAGGGCTTGGGCCCCTTCCTACCCTAACAAGGGCTGCACGGTGGAAGTGTTCTTACGGAAATTGAAGAATAAAGAGGGTTTTATCTTGCCCGGGAAAACAAAGGAGAACAAATTTCGAAATTTTGAATCAAATCGAGGTGAGATATTCGGACTTGTAAAATGATAAGCTCCAATTGGCAGATAATTTCTCTATTATAACAGTCAAATGGCCTTATTGGTTTAGACTAAAAAAATGGCCTTATTAGGCCTTCGGCCCACTATGAGTATTCAAAAAATTGTTTGATTGGGTTGATGAAGGCCCAGGTAGAATCCTGCAGTTTGGGCCTTGGGCCCACCAAATTTGTCTGTGTCTTTTTTTGTTTATTATTTTGTCACAGAGTGTTGTGGATGCATGCGATCTGGGACTTTGTGATTGGAAAGCAATAATTTGATTAGATTATTATAAATAAACCCTATTTTGGGTGTTTTAGTGAAACTCCCTAATTTGATTGTGCTGTGACTTTCTTACAGAATCACTGCATAATCATATGTTTCCTGGGATTGTGTATATAAACCTTTTCAATCCAAAATTAGAATTTAAGAGTTGATAATCTAGCTAGAGATCACGCTAATGTATGACGTAACCAGGTAAATTCAATAACAAAGTTCCTGACGGAACCAGGTTTATATTTATATTATATATTTTTTTGTTAGTATTTATTTAATCGGTTTCCTTTATTGAATCGGTTTATAGAGGGGTCGGTGGAATGGAAACGCCTATATATTCTCCCCAACCAAATATTAATTAATCAGATCAATGGAAGCAATCTCATGGGACAGGGTTCCTCAAGAAATCAGACCCAAGAAAAGAATGAGAATTAGATTTAGATGTAGGCAAGCAATGCCGGCGGACAACAGCGTCCATGTTCCTGAAGAAATTATTCACGACATCCTGCTGTTGTTGCCCATCAAATCTCTACTCAAATGCACCGCAGTGTGCAAGTCATGGAGGTCTCTAATCCAAAGCTCTGCCTTCATGCATACACACCTCGGCCGCACAATCATCCAATCAAACAACCGAAATGACGACGCTCAGCTCTTGCTGCTACAGTCTTCCACCAGGGAAGAGCAAAAAAGATCTTACTCGTTGCATTGGGATCGCTGCCCTTCATTAAGTGAGTACTCCAAGTTTACAGATCCATTCGTAGCTTACAACGAAATTAGTAGACGTCAAGAAGACAATAATCAAACAACAAAAATGGGTAACAAAAACTGCAAGGTCAACGTGTTAGGGACTTGTAACGGGCTGGTATGCCTCCAGGAAGGTGACATTGCGACATTAATCTGGAACCCCAGTATTAGAAAGTTTCTGGTTTTGCCTCCCCCTGTTGTTACCTTCATGGGGTTTAAAAGCCACGCATTTGGCTATGATCCGCGTACCAATGACTATAAGGTTTTCAGAAGTGTTAGTTATTATAAGACTCCCCGCTTGTCCCGTGCAGTTGAGATTTTTTCCTTAGCCAGGGGCTCCTGGAAGAGGCTTCGTAATGCTGTTGTTCCTGCAAACTTCTCGCCTGGAAACTTTACTAGTAATGATAAACTCGATGCTCTTGTTAACGGTGCTCTGCATTGGATTCAGACAGAGGGGGACGACAAGTTCATTGTGTCCTTTGATTTGTCCACTGAATTATTTGGCAAGATCCTGATGCCTATATCAGCTTTGAGAAGGAGGGCTAAGAGGTGGACACGCGAAGCTCCCGTGGTAAAAAATGTTTGCTATGCTTCAAGATACGGGGACTGCCTTGCCTTTTTTGAGAAACATCAAAATACGAAGTTACCTGGTGATGTTCATTTGTACTTGTGGGTGATGAAAGACTATGGTGTTGCAGAATCCTGGTCTAAATTATTCATTATATCTACACAAGAAAATGTGCTCAGGCCACTTAGTTTCAGAAAGAGTGGCCAAGTAGTGCTTGCGTATTCTTCGGATGACAAGTGTTATGAATTGGTAGACCCTAACAGCAAACAATGTGATGATTTTCGAATTGATGGGTACTGCCCCAGGACAAGCCTCTACTGCTTCATGGATTATTTTGTAGAGAGCATTGGCTTACTCGATCGACCCGATGCTATTTCATACTAGATAGGTTGGATTGGTTCGAATTAGCATTATCTGAGCTTCATTCCTTCTTACTCTTCTGTTTCTTACTCTTCTGTTTCTTTGGATTAATTATCTATGTTCATGGTTTTGTTTTTCTTTGTAAATTTTGTCTCTTGTAGTATTATTTGAAATAAAGAGTGCACGCTTCGTTCTTCATTGGTAGTCTGAGAGAAGTGAAAGAAAAACATATTTGAGATAGAAAACTAAAGATAGCGCCATCGCCATCTTATAAACACAATAACAGCATCAGCTAGCTTCCCTGCAAACATGGATAGATCCCAGGTGTCCTAAACATTGAAGTGAATAGCTTACACTCCATAATGCCATACCAATGATATCCCATTTTTTATTTTGTAAGTAAAAACTCTTTTGAAGAATACCAGGTCCATGAAGACATCTAACTATGACTGACCACTGCCCTTGCTATTTATATGACCCAGTCTGGAAAATCTTTTTGATAAGCTAAGTTGTTGTTTCCTTACATGAAAACTGGATCGAAATTTTCACCTATCCTAATTCTAAATGAAGAAATCAGAGAAAAAGTAGAAAAACATAACACAATATTAACGAGGTTCGACAACGTTGCCCAACTACGTCCCCTGTGGAGTTTGAGACTTATTGTTGATCATGAGAACAACACACATATAGGCAAGCCTTTACAAAAAAAGAAGATGACGAGGTTTATAACTGGAAACAAACATAAGTCGTCCCGATGCTGTTGTTCCTGCACAAGATGAGGCATATATGAAGCTTGAGACTTGGGACTTGTTACAAGTTAGCTTCAAGTGCGCCTCTCATTGAAGTGAAATCCTCAAAATTTTATCACAAAAGATGCGGCGTTCCTCTTCGCCATTTGCTCACGTATAAAACTGATATTGGATTGATTTCAAGGTAGAAATTAGATTCAAGAGCAAGGATGGGATGTGCTATTAAGTATCATATGGAGATCTAGAATACAAAAGCAGAGAAAACTTAGCACTGAAGCTCCACCCCAACTTTTCACACGCAAAAACAAAAGGATTACATAAGGGCGTCAAACAAAAACAACACCAGCTAGCTAGAGATAAAAATCACACCACCATCCCTACTACAACTTTATTTTACAGACACATGTAGTAGCCTAGAAACACCAAAAACCAAAGTCATGGTCAAGTCAACGAGGCCTTAGAAGCCTGGAAGCTGGAGCTCTTCAAAGTCACTCATTTGAACGACCGTTAGTTTTATACTTGGACTCGTCAATTGGGATGCCTTCCTCCGCAGCACGCTCTCCTCCGGACTTGTCAGTTGTGCTCAATCCACCCTTCTTCCCCATCTCATGGTACCCCTCATGCCCTATCTCATTCTTCCTTGTCTGCCCTCCACGACTCCTTCCTATCGATCATATACATATATATATCATCACATATTAGTTCACTTAAGAGAGAGAGAGAGAGAGAGAGAGAGAGATTATATATATTAAACCTTCAGCAAGGTGCTCCTGAGCCTCAAGGCTCTTGCCACCAGTTCCACCAGGGATGACCACCTCTCCCTTTCTTGCCTTCTCGTCCAGGTCCTTTCTTTTCTGTGGATCCATTCTTTCTGATGCCGTCTGTTGTGTAGATACAGCTGCACCAAAATGGATTCAGTTGCATCCTCAACTTGTGATACTCGCAAGTGCACGAGCCGTTGGTAGTTTAGCATATGTAAGTGCGAGGTCGATCCCACGAGGATTGGTGATTGAATGATCCAATTCATTTCCCTACACAAAACATAAATGAAAACAAAAGGAAATAAATACAACAAGAAAGAAAGAAAATAACTAACTCAAGCAGATAAGTTCCCAAGTTCAATTTAGATTAATGGATTGATTCTAGCTAAAGTATGATTAAGCCATGGTGTGTGGTCATAACCTTGTGTTCCTAATTCCCTAATTTGATCATTTGTTGTCTAACCTAAAATTAAGCATTAGGAACCCATTAAGCATAGAAGAACAATTTAAACAACCAAGCATGTATCTAATCCCTGTTGTCGAATGTCCATACATACTCTTCCTATTCATAGTTCAATTCGAATTAAAGCATGGTGTATACTCTTAATTCAAACCAAGATAGCTA